AGCGGCCCGACTCCAATCTGGGCCGAGCGCCGGGGAACACTCGCCAGCGGGCAGACGTCCCGGCGGACGCGAACGGACCGAAATCTCAAAGGCCAGGCAGGTTTATTGCCCTCCAGCCCGGGCGCAATATCGAGCATGGCCGCAATACTGCGAAGCCACGCGCAGCGCGCCCGGTCGGCATGCCATGAAGCCGCGCTGCGCCAGGGCGCCCGCCGCTGCCATGGCAGCATGAAAGGCCTCAGCTGTGAGACCCAATGGCAGCAGCGGCACGTGGCCGTCTGAGGGTTCTCATTTTCTCAGCATTCGCAAACCCGTCGAGCATTCGGCCGCGTGAAGGGGACCTCGATTGATGCAATAAACAAACGTGAGGGCCTCTCGCTGGACGACTGCTTTTTATGATATATGTGACGTACCAAAAATGTATTTTGGGTTTAGTTGCGTGGCCATTCACCTAAACACACACCATCATGCACGGCAAAGGTTTCAGTTTGTCGGCACGCCTTGTGGGACCGTGTTGACCATGCGCTTGTTGTCAGGATGTATGTCATAGGCACGCATGCACGCAGCGGGCCCATCCTGATGTCCCGGGCCCCACCGACAGATGACTCCACGTACATCGGCACGCGCACTAGCACACACTGCGCTACTGATGCGTCTCTAGCTGGCTGGTTCCTTCCATCCAGCTGACCAGGAGACCCTCTCCGGCTGACCGGCGGACCCTCTCCAGCTGAGCGGCAGGCCCTCTTCAGTTGACCGGCAGACCCTCTCCGGCTGACCGACAGACCCTCTCCAGCTGACCGGTAGACCCTCTCCGGCTGACCGAAAGACCCTATCCAGCTCACCAGCAGACCCTCTCCGGCTGACCGGCGGACCCTCTCCAGCTGACCGGCAGGCCCTCTTCAGTTGACCGGCAGACCCTCTCCGGCTGACCGACAGACCCTCTCCAGCTGACCGGTAGACCCTCTCCGGCTGACCGAAAGACCCTATCCAGCTGACCAGCAGACCCTCTCCGGCTGACCGGGAGACCCTCTCCAGATGGCCGGGAGACCCTCTCTAGCTGACCTTCTCCGGCTGACCGACGGACCCTCCCCGGCTGACCGGCAGACCCTCTCCGGCTGACCGACAGACCCTCCCCAGCTGACCGACAGACCCTCTCCGGCTGACCGGTAGACCCTCTCCGGCTGACCGACAGACCCTCTTCAGCTTACTCCAGGTGACCGGCAGACCCTCTCCGGCTGACCGGCAGACCCTCTCCAGCTGACCGACAGACCCTCTCCGGCTGACCGGCAGACCCTCTCCGGCTGACCGGCAGACCCTCTCCGGCTGACCGACAGACCCTCTCCGGCTGGTGGGCGGGCCGCCCTCCAACGTCGCAGCGGCCGCGTGCCGCCGCGCCTGAGTCAGCGGCGCCGGCGGCGGGCCGCCCGGCCGCTGGCTGTCCGGCCAAGCCGGACCGGACCGGGCCGGCGTCACGGTCGGCGCCTGCCAACACACACGGCCCGGGCCGCGTCGCCGCCGGCCAGGCGACGGCGGCCGCGCGCCGCGCCACGGCCCGTTCCGGGACGCACCGGACTCAGCCCGGCTGGCTGCTGGCGTCGCTCCGCTGCCCGGGACGTTTTCGTTCTCAACCGCCCCTGTTGGGCGACGAGGAAGGCTGGGCTGCGGCGGCCTGCCGTGGGCCCGGCACCACCCGCCAGACTTGGTGCCTGGTCTACGGCACACCATCGCCCATCGCCTGTGGCGGACAACGCGGACAGACGAACCAGCGACGACGACACCCTTCCCCTCCCTCACGCCGTTCAGCAGAGGCCAGCCAAGCAGTGCCCGGCGTCAGCTGGGGTATCGAGGTCCTCATTGGCGACCAGGCGCGCATCGATGGACCACAGCCAACGGGTCCACAACACGAAAGAAGTGGCACCGCTACACCAGGTCCCCTGGAGAAACTGTTTTGCCTAGGCCACAAGCGTGACAGCAAGCAGATGCTGGAGGGTGCCTGCAACAAATGCGTCTCTGCAACTTTAGCAGTACGGCACATGTTCAATCGGACTGTCTCCCCACTCCGCCACAAGCTGAACAGCTGCCAGTGACAAGCTAATTGAAACGAGTCGGATTTCCCTGCACTGGATGTTTCCAGTTCCAGAGCCGCACAAAAAAACGTCGAGAAACATTCCCCTTGCGTTGCCTGGTCAAGTTTCTCGCAAAACTAAGACAGCCTGGGATAATCTGTCACCGCATCTGCGAAAACAGCGACCAGAGGTGGCGAGCACGGCGCCGCGCCTGTTCGACACGGCCGGCCACCCCCGCGCGGGCGGGTCCCGTTTTAGCCGTCGGTGACCTTGCGTCCTCCCGCGCGCCGATCGACGGCCATTTATCAGCGTCGCTTTGCTGTGCGCCAAATCAACCTTACTCCACGGGAGGGAGTGTGAAGAAGGCAGGCCTGCGATGCAGGGGATCGCCGCTGCCCGTGTGATTCGCGAGATGAGCCAACAAACGATCTGAGTGCCCGTGGAGTCGGGAAGCTTATCGGTGTTATAGTAGACCCCATGTGTTACGCACAGTTGACAGCCTCGGTCTCAAGTATCGGATGCGACGAACGCAACAGCGAGGCGCCTAGCAAGACTACGCACGGTAGTATGCGAGGAAGGTAACGCTGGGCTTCAAACACTCAAGCTCATTACACTTGAGCTGAACCCTGATCAGCTTGGCTTAAGGCCAGTGGGCAAAACACGCGAATGCGATGATCAGATAGATCCGTGAACAGGCGGGCTATGTGGTAGTACCACCAGCGCTTATGAGTTTGCATGAGATTTTGCTCCCTCAACGCAATCGCCTGAAAATCACTGGAGCTTCTGGGTCCACCGCGCAGTGATATGCAAACGTCAGCTCCCGACTCAACCGCACAATGATAAAATGCTGGCGAACGCCAGTTCCCGTCTCCCCTAGTGCGGTGTTAGGCGGACGCCAGCTCCCGTCTCCCCCCGTGCGGTGTTAGGCGAACGACCTGGCTGTACCAGCCTGGCCTGTTCAATATATCACGCCCATTCAAAGGCCCAAAGCAGCCCTGAACGGAACAACGGTTTTGCCGGCGACGGGCCCTTTTGAAAGCCGCGCCATTTATCACGTTCAGACTTCACCCCAGTCCACCCTCAGATCCGGAACTTCACCCCAGTCCACCCTCAGATCCGGAACTTCACCCCAGTCCACCCTCAGATCGGAATACACCCAGTCCACCCAGAAATCCCCTCCCCCCTCAGATCCGGAAGAACACCAGTCCCCATCAGATCCGGAATTCAGTACTGACCGGTCACAGTCCCTAAGATCCGCTCGCCCAGCCAACCTCAGATCCGGAACTTCACCCCAGTCCACCCTCAGGTTCGCAACACATAATTTCGCTGAACTGTCTGATTACCAGTGGGTTGCGCCGCAGCAGCAGCGTAGACAAATGGACCTCGTCGGCGAGCGTATCATTTGATATGCCTCTCCAACAACCTTGGCGTTCACAGTCAGAAGGGGCGCGCGGCTGACGGTCGGGTCTTTGTTGCGGTCTTTCAGGGCCTTGTCTTGTAATGAGCCTGGTCGCATCATTTTGGCAAGGACCTCCAGCCGCCTGGCTCGATAATGCTTAATGACAGCGCCACGTGCGCCCCTCCCGCCTCCTGCGCCGGCACAAGGCAGTGTCTCCGGCTGCGGCGGCGGCCCACAGACATGGCTGCGGCCGGCTGGTGTCACCAGTCGGCGACGGCCAGCAATATGGTGTCCGCGAGCTGACTACGAGCAGCCGCCGACATGATATTCCCGCCTCCAACCATGACTGGGGCCGGGGCGGTGATCCGCACACGAAAATTCGGGAGGGTGTACAAAAATGCAGGAGGCAAGACAAAAGTGCTTGTTGTAAATGCAAGATAAAACGCTTAAACAGAGGTTACTAGCAACGGAGAACACATGGCCGTTTAGTTGGAAAATTTTTGCAATAACCCAGCTTGATCAACGGCTCAAGTGTGATATCGAATCGAAACATCTTTGGTACAATATACGACCACCACGACCATACACTGCACATAACAGAAATAGCTCCCAGAAGCAATATTTCATTACAGCTGAAACTAGCCTTCCCATCCCTCCAACAACTTTCCAGCGATTAATCACGCAGTTCATAACCAGCAATAGCTCGACAGTCCGAGCCGTCTGCCTCGCCAACCGGCACATCAGCCTTCCGCCACATGGCCGCAGGCGCGGCGGCCGCTCTCAGTCGCGGCGGGCTGGCCGGTTCGCCCGACGGAGCGCGGCCGCGGGATGCCCCCGCCGGTGCCGGACCCCGCAGCGATAACACGGGGTCAATAGTGCGGCTCGGCCTGAGGCTTGGAGAGGCAGTGCGGCACCTCAGTCACGGCGACAGACAGCTGCGGTGCGGAGCGGGCGAGGTGAGCCAGCGCCATCTCTCGGCCACTCGGGCGACTAATAATTCCACGGATGCCGCCAGTGCGATAACTTGAAATGTCTGATGACTTGACCGTGCGCCTCACACGACCGAAGGCCAGATCCCCGCCAGCGCGTCAGCCCGCTCATGGTCACCGCCAGGAGGACAATACAGACTACGCCAGCATCACGCCGCGTAGTGATCTCTTCGACAAGCATCCATCAAATCTCAACCTACGGTCAGCCAGTGTGGATACCACGGTAACCGTTCTCTGTAACAGATGGCGCCCCCATCGATCCGCCGAACGGCGCCACACTGCCAGAAAACCACGAATGGGTGGTGTTACGGAGAGCGACCGTTACCCACCTGACGGGGATTTCTTTTCTCATGGAGAAATGCTAGGTGGGGGAGCACCTCCGCGCTGTACTGGCCGGCAATATTTACGCTGCATCGTAAACCTCGATAGAGCCGCCAAGCACACTCAAATGATCGACGAAAGAACCATTGACTGGTATGAATGGGCCAGTTCTCCCGCTGCCCTCAAGGCGAGCGAAGCGCGAGGGCCGGCCTGCGGCTGACTGACCTGGTGCTTCCCCGACGGGACCGGGCGGCGGCGAGGTAGGCGTGTCCGGCATCAGGATCCCCTTCTGGATCAGATCTTCCCGGTTGGCGCGTACTGAGATCTTGCGCTCCAGCGCTAAAACAGGGTGCGATGAGTCAGCGGCCGGCGCGCCCCCGCTCCGGCGACGAGACACACCGCCGCCTGGACCGGGCGCCCCACCCCGGCCGAGAGCTGACGATGCACCGGGCGCTGCCGCGACGTGCGGACGCAGCGTCTGGGCCTGACAGGCAGGCGACACACAGCCGCCAGTTTGAGCTGGCAGAGGCGCACCCCTGCGCCGGCTGACAGCAGCACGTACACGTGTTTACGACACGGCCCGCGCCGCTCAGGGACCTCCAACAACACAGCGCGGCCAAAGCGCACAACGCTACAGTCACGTGGCGTGCTGAGTGGATCACACATAACAACATGATCACCGGGCGCACGAGCTGGGCATAAACAAACAACTGGTCCATCTGGCTCCAAGTGCAAGAACCTCCACGCCGACAACAGTGGTGCAATGGACACCGGTTTTTGCGCTGTGGCACGGGCTGTGAGCTGCGTTCAGCTCCATCAAACGATGAGCTTTGCCGGTGCGCATATTGAGAACATCTTGGCCCATCTAGAAACAGTCTGAGGAAATGAGAGGCAGAAGGTGGAAACATCGGATGGAATACACAAACATGGCACGCCAGAGCTATCACAATGGCGTATACACTAAGACAAACCACGGGACTTGAGTGAACAAATCGGTCCGCACACTCCAAAGCGGCGCAAGAACTGAACGCCATCAGGCACGGGTCACCGCGCATCAAACAACGCCCGCGAGGCCTCCTGCGACACCACATCCCCATGCCCTCGGCCACAGCTCGGCGCTTCGCCAGCCCATCGCGTGCGTTGCCGCGTGCCGAGCCTGTGGTAAGCTTCATCACCAAAGTTTGCCCGCGCCCCCCCCCCCCCCTCCGCACACCACGGTCCTCCACATGGTCCGGCGCCAGCGCCCGGAGTGCGTCGCACGCAACGGGTCTGGCGAGCGCCCCTCCTGGGTGTGTGCGTCCCGTACGGCCGAGGTCCATGTGCTAACAATGTATCTCTGTAACGAAGTGAGGCGGGCAGCTGCATCCGGCCGCGGCGCTTGGTCGAAATAGGGTGGGTAGGGCAGCTGCGTAGAGTAGGTGGGCAAAACCGTAACCTTCGGAGACCAATCCATTTACAAAATGGGACCACTGGTCTATGCTATATATATCACGCAATGGTCGCTGGCGCAAAGGCGAGGGGGAGGGCGGGGGAGACACAAGCCTCCATGTCACCCTAACCCCCCTCACCCGCCACGTCACGTCACGCCCCTACCGGAAAGCCATCTGTGAAAAATCCGTCGTAATTTGACTGGCGAAGCTTTCAGCGTCCACCAGCCATTAACCGCGCGCGCATTTCAGCGCTGCATGAGTCGCTGGCTCGCTGTAAACCAGGCCACCAGCGGCACCGTGACCACGGCCAGCACGGCCGCCGCCGCCGGCGCGCGGGCCGCCCAGCCTTCGCGGCTGCCTCGGGCAGCGCCCGGCCGCGCGGAGCGTCACACGCGCCCGCGGCCGCCCCGAGGCCATCGCACGCCGCCGACCGTCCCCGATCCGACGCGGCGGGCGAGCCGCGAGGTGTCCGCCTCAGCCGACGGTCTGAGGCGAGGTGGGACGGCCCGCACCGCGGCAGGGGACATGGAGGGACGGAGACGCGGCTGAGCGGGTGGCGGCCGGGCTCTGGTCAACAGTCACCCGGCGACATCACCTAGATCCAGCTCGGTGGACCGAACCCAAGGTCAGGATAGCCCGAGCTGCGTAGACCCCGAGGGGCTAGTGCCCTCAACGCTATGTGCATATAAGGAAGGACATCAACAGTGCGTGAGAGTCCAAATGTGCGGCACGCCGCACATTGCACGCATCAGCGGCCGGCTGGACCGGAGCCGTCACATGCGGACTACCACGCCCGCGGCGGGCGTCAGCGCCCCATCCGGTACGCGCCTGCGACGGCGGACCGCCGGCGTCTGGCTGGGACGCCGCGGCACCGACAGCGGCCGGCCGCAGCCGCGACGAGCGCTGCCGTGCGCCGCCGATCGCCGGCGTCTGGCTGGGATGCCGCGGCACCGACAGCGGCCGGCCGCAGCCGCGACGAGCGCTGCCGTGCGCCGCCGATCGCCGGCGTCTGGCTGGGACGCCGCGGCACCGCCAGCGGTCGGCCGCAGCCGCGATGAGCGCTGCCGTGCGCCGCCGATCGCCGGGGTCTGGCTGCGACACCGCGGCACCGACAGCGGCCGGCCGCAGCCGCGACGAGCGCTGCCGTGCGCCACCGATCGCCGGCGTCGATAGCACGCAGCCGGCTGGGCTTTTTACCGGCGCCACCACGCTCGGCGGCACCGGAACAAAGACGACGGCAGCGGCGTGGCCGCTTTCCCGGGCGGGCACACGGCCGGACGCAGACGGGGGCCATCCTCCGCTGCAGCAGCCGGTCCGGTCCCGTCCCCGGCGCCCGCCGGCTGATGGCCCGCAGTCCCTCTGCAGAGCTGGCCGGCCGCAGCGCGACATCCTCTGCTGCAATGACCGAGTGCCATCCTCTAATGTATTGTTGGGAGACCGAGTGCCTTCCTCCGATGTATTGCTGGGAGGCCATGTGCCATTCTCCACTGACACTAGGTGCGCCTTAGCAGTGGGGATGAAGCCGCAGTTACATCACAGCCAGCTATGGCCGTGGACTGCGGGTTTTAGCCATTGGGCTAGCGGGTGTAGTGCTTATTGCGATAGGCTGTGATCAAGAGCGCTGCCATAGCTGGAGTCAGCGATAGGTTGTGATCAGGAGCGCTGCTACAGCTGGGGTCAGCGATAGGCTGTGATCAGCACTGCCACAGCTGGAGCAAGCGATAGGCTGTGATCAGGGGCACTGCCACAGGTAGAGTCCACAGAGTCCGTACCGCAGCAACTGATCGAATGATAACGCTATGGCTGTAGTTCGGTATTTACAACAGTATCCGCGTAGATTGTTCTCCATTTCCTTTTGATGCGTGGGTACGCCCTTGTGGTGGCAGGAACTCACGTGCAATAGGAGCAAATGGTACTTCGAACTAAAACATTGCTGGCGGATGATTTTCTGCAGTGTGACGTGCAATCCAAAGTGATAATTATGAGTCGGATATGGCTTTTTGACATAACTGACGCGGTGAGAATAATCATAATTAAGATTGTCTCCTCCGCCGTCTCAGACGCCCGGGTGGGATCCGGCCCGGCTGGGATCTGGTCCGAGCTGGGGTCCGGCCCGGCTGGGATCTGGTCCGAGCTGGGGTCCGGCCCGGCTGAGATCAGGTCCGAGCTGGCATCTGGTCCGGGCTGGGATCTGGTCCGAGCTGGGATCAGGTCCGAGCTGGCATCTGGTCCGGGCTGAGATCAGGTCCGAGCTGGGATCAGGTCCGAGCTGGGATCTGGTCCGAGCTGGGGTCCGGCCTGGCTGGGATCTGGTCCGAGCTGGGGTCCGGCCCGGCTGAGATCAGGTCCGAGCTGGGATCTGGTCCGAGCTGGGATCTGGTCCGAGCTGGGGTCCGGCCTGGCTGGGATCTGGTCCGAGCTGGGGTCCGGCCCGGCTGAGATCAGGTCCGAGCTGGGATCTGGTCCGAGCTGGATCAGGTCCCGAGCTGGGATCATGGTCCGAGCTGGGATCTGGTCCGAGCTGGGGTCCGGCCTGGCTGGGATCTGGTCCGAGCTGGGGTCCGGCCCGGCTGAGATCAGGTCCGAGCTGGGATCTGGTCCGGGCTGGGATCTGGTCCGAGCTGGCATCTGTTCCGAGCTGGGATCTAGCCCGGGGCTGTGACCTGGCCCGAACATATGCGGACGCGCGGCCAGGGCACCGAGATGACGCCAGTCCAGGAACGACCGAGCTAAGCGGATCCACGTGACGCTCACAACTTTAAATCTGCCACCAGCACGGCGGGAGTTTGAAAATGCAAACAGACGAGCTCACTCTAGAGCTGTTCTGTGCTATTGTAAGGTTTGTAACGCACGTGGCGCGTCCAATCAAGAAATGGAGCATTTATCATCGGAGGGCGCATCCATGTTTACAGCCAACGCCCATCAGCTCAAACAAAAAACGTGCTGAAGCGATATTCAGTACGACAGATACAAAATTGATCAGTTTAATGGGTGTCGTGGACAGTTGTTTGTTCGCGCAAACATTGTAAATAGAAATTCCAGGGTGTGGTGATAGCGATGGGGCAGCCGCTCCAATACAAAAAGAATGTGTTTATGGACACTTTAGTCGAAAAGTGCATGTTTGCTGTCCAATGTTCAGTTATGAGCAATCGCCTACTCCAGACAACCGATTTCAACCGCAGACATTTTCAAACGAAGACACAACAGAAACAATTCGAAACGCCTGCCCAGCTGACATGTGAGTGCAGCACCTGCCACCATCACTGCCTGGCTGAAATCCCGACAACTAGTTCCGAACTCTGACAGTCAGAGCTCTGACAGCGACAGGCGTCAGGCCTGGCGGGACACTGCTGGCGTCAGGTCTGGCGAGGCGCTACTGAAACAACCGGCGACGAAGCCGCGCGGCTGACGCGTCCCTCCGCCCACTGCAACACCAGGCGGAGCGGCGCCTCCGCGACCGCCACGCGGCCGCCCACTGGTGCTTGGGGAGGGTGTTGATCTCATCTGGAGACATCGAATCTGTCGGAGTTGACGGCCTTGGACGAGGTTTTCACGGGACGCGAGTGACACCACGTATTACTGTCGACATAACATTACCCGTACGTCGATCACCCCTTCCCAAGCGCGTGCACGGACGGGGGGTCTGAACTAGGCGCCGATGCGGGCAGTGACCGTAATGCAAATGACCGTAACGGCACAGCACACCCACACGGAAGCCAAGTACAGAGCCTGACAGGAGAGGACGGCTACATCTGGCTAAAAAAAAAGAAAAAAAGCCAGGCTCCGCTTATCACGTGCATGTACCAGAGCAGGGGCGCAGCCAGTCTTGGTAATGGTGGGGGTTACCAATCATGACAAAAAGCTCTCCCCTCTCAGTAAAAATATCGCAAAAAAACACCGGATTTGGCAACAGTGTTTCAAGGAGGCCCTTTTGTTTTTGTCTTGTGTAATCGTGCCGACGGGCGCGTGCCAAGGGACCCATGGAGACAGGGGCCAATGGACCGGGGAGCGAAAAGCGAGGCTGAGCCATCGACATTCTGAAAAATAAACATTGACCCCACGGGCGTTAACTGGAAAGAAATACCCAAACATGGCTATCCGCCTCTTCCAACATGACAGGACTTCCATCGCCGCTGATTGAAGAACTCCGTAGATTGAACAAGGCCCTTGCCTCTCTCGAACAGGGGTGGGACACTCGGGGGCCATTACCTTTCCTGGTCAGGGGTTGAAGGGCATCTCCCTCTCAGCCCACGGTACCTACTGGCTACCATTCTGACGACACGGGGCCGGGCCGTTTGGTCGATTCGGAGGCCCTCGCAGGGACAGTCGCCATCTGTTCCCCTCCCTGGCGCAGGGGGCCTTCTGACAGTAGTCGACCCAGGATCGACGCTAGACCGTCACTGACGCGAAAAAAATATCATGCCAGCTCGCGGACTCCATATGATTCACGCACGGACCGCATTAGTTTTTCAGGCTCTTGGCCAAAACGGGGTGGGCGCCCACGTGCGACTCCTCCCCTGACCTCCGCTCGGCTCCTCCTCTAACCCTCGTTTGACTCTTCCTCTGTCCCTCGTTCAGCTCTTCCTCTGCCTCTCGTTCGGCTCCTCCTCTGGCCCCAACAGGCCCCTACCCTGGTCCCCACAGGGTCCTCCTTTGGCCCTCGTTCGACTCCTCGCTGCCCTTCGTTTGACTCGTCTAGCCTTCGTTCGACTCCTCCTCTAGCCCCCGTTTGATTTTTCCTCTGGCCCCCGTTCGGCTCCCCCCAGGCCCCCGATCGGCTCCCCCCCAGGCCCCAGATTGGCTCCTCCCCAGGTCCGCGTTCGGCTTTCCCTCTGGGCTCCTCCTCCCTTGCCTGCGCCCCTGTCCCAGGGGAAATGCAACAACGTCTGACACCTAACTTTATACCACCACCCATGCGCTCACGCCTTACCAGACGGCATCTCTGACCTCGGTGATCGCGTCATCGGAAGCCCCGCCCAGACACCCCCCGCATGCCATACCCTCCCCCTTCTCATCCACTCAGTGGCGGCATGTGGCGGCCGAGATACGGCCGCCATAACGTCCGTCTCTCATATCCGCAATTAGGCGGCGACGGCAGCGGCGCCGGCTGCCGCCTGCGATCTGAATATCGCAGCCGGTCGCAAGGGGAGAGCACACGGCCCGGCGACAGACCCACCGCGACCGCCGCCGTTCACACAACCGCAGCCCCAGTCTTACGCACACAAGTGCGTAGCGGGAGTTTCCAGATTATTTCCGGGGCGTGCAGCTCCGATATGAAGATGGTTCGCCGGGTGAACGTCAACACATCAGGACGCGGCGGCATCCGGCCGGCGGCATGGTCCCTTGCTCAGCCGAGAACGGCTGACCAGCAACATGTTCCCTTGTTTAGCCAAGAACGGCCGACCGGCAGCATGTTCCCTTGCTCAGCCAAGAACGGCTGACCAGCGTCATGTTCCCTCGCTCAGCCAAGAACGGCCGATCGGCAGCATGTTCCCTCGCTCAGCCAAGAACGGCCGATCGGCAGCATGTTCCCTCGCTCAGCCACGAACGGTCGACCAGCAACATGTTCCCGTGTTCAGCTAAGAACAGCCGGCCGGCGGCATGTTCGCTTGCTCAGCCAAGAACGACCGGCCGGAGTCATGTTCCCTTGTTCAGCCAAGAACGGCCGACCAACGTCATACCCCCTTGTTCAGCCGCCAAAATCGCTGTCTTCACGCGGGGCTGGGGCGTGACCCCCGCACCGGCAGACGACCGCGAGTCTGACACAGCTGAGACCGGACGCACAGCGCCGAACCAGCGGCAGATCGCGGCGACGCCAGGTGCGCCGGCTGGCGCCGTGGCCGATCGTTGGCCTCTCAGGGTCTTCCTTAGGCTGATCCGGGCCGAGCGGCGTCTCCCGTGCCCCTCATAGGATCGCCACGCGCTCAATCACACCAGCACACAACCAGGAGAAGCAAAAGGCTCCAACGAGGTGCCGGTAGTGTAGTGGTTAACGCGTCTGCGTTAACCACTGCACGTCTGGGAAACCAGAGGTACGGGGTTCGATTCCCCGCGGTACCCACCCCTCCTGCCAGGGTGAGAGGCAGGCGACGCCAAACAGCCTCAGCAGCTGAGTGCGTCGTAAAGCCCCAATGACATGACGTGACAAAAGGCTCGAACTGCCCCGCCACTGGCTCTCCAGGACAGTGCTCCCTCAGAAGGACGACGCTCACCAGGTGGCGGCCGTGTGCTGGAGCCGCGGAGCACGACTCAACACCCACAGAGTTCTACCGACCCGCTTGCAGCACGTTCGGCGGGATTGGAGGCCAAATTCAATTTGGCGCCCAGTCCGATACCCTTTCAAGCCTGTATCGAACTTCTGGGAATGTGGCCAGATTACGCTATTCAGGGGCGGGAGCGACAGGAGTCCACTCCGGGTCTTTGCGCAGCTGTTCAGAGGAAGCCATCTGCCTCATTTGAGTCCTCCTGCTGCGCCCAGCCCCGCAGGTTATCACCGTGCTGGCTTGGCTGCGGACGCGGCAAGTGCGCCAAATTCGCCGCTTTGTTCGACACGTGTGACCAAACAAAGCCCGATTAGCATGACTGACAAACTACTACGCGGCTTTCAGCCCCAGTAATGGGGTGAAGCAGATGCCACATGTTGTCCTACTTCCCGATTACGGAGTGTTCCGTCCCATTTACATTCCGCGTGGCCAGCGCCACCATGCGGACGCCGGACGCCACGGCTCGGCTCCGATCGCGACACGGGCAGTCCAGCGCCACGACACTGGGCAACTGCGCAAGCCCGCGCTGCCGAAATGCAGCCGGTTTCCCTATCTGGGTGGCATCTGGGGCCTCGCCACCATCACACACGGCTGCAGCCCCAAATTTGCAAGACAGGCACGTGTGATACTGTGAGGGCCCCGCGTCGGCAAACCCAGCCTGACATGAGCGATGGAGAACAAGTCTTCCGGGACAGGTTGGCAACCTGAGTTTTATTTTCAGCTCGATAGACCAGGATGCATGAGGCTCGCAGGGACCCACCAACACCCTACGTTGACTTAACGAGATAAATAGCCCAGATTACAGGGACTGCGATAGATGACTGACCCGTCCGCCGGTTGTAAAGTGATTCAACAGCTTGTGAGCAGGGAGCCTAGCCCACACCAACCAGAGTAAACGTTGGATCCACGGTACTTCACCACCCCGTCAGTGCGACAGCGCAAACACGGCCCGCCCCGCCCCAGCCCAACATAGCCCGCCCCGCTATCCCGCCAATCGCCTGCTTACAGCGCTGTGTTTCGGCGAACTTGTCCGATTTCTTTTTCCGCTTCCACTTCCAGGGCTTGAAGAAGCGGCCGAGCGAGGCGAACTTGTGTTTGCGCTCGACGGGCGGCGTGCGGGCCCGCGAGGCCGGCACGCCCCGGCCCATCTCGCCGTTCTGCTTGGCGCCTGCAACAGGAGGGGCTAGTCAGCGGGAGGCAGACGAGCGAGTGAAGCACCCCACCCCGGCCATAGCCGCTGCAGGCGCGGAGTCAGCGGCAGGCAGACGAGCGAGTCCGGCACCCCACCCCGGCCATAGCCGCTGCAGGCGCGGCCAGAGCGTCAGCTAGCAGGACCACAGTGGCTACACGGCATCAGGCAGCATGAGTGAGAGCGGCTGTCGGAGCCGGGAAGCACTGGAGTATTGGTGGGAGGCAGGGGACCATTAGAGGACTGGTGGGAAGTAGACGGGACCGCTGGGGCACCGTCGGAAACCGGGCGACACCAAGAGAGGACCGCTGGATGGCGGGCGGCACCAAGAGAGCACAGTGGATGGCGGACGGCGCCAAGAGAGGACCGCCGGATGCCGGACGGGACCAAGAGAGGACCGCCGGATGCCGGACGGCACCAAGAGAGGGCCGGTGGATGCCGGGCGGCACCAAGAGAGGGCCGGTGGATGCCTGGCGGTACCAAGAGAGGATCGGTGGATGCCGGGCGGGACAGGCGGAGCACCGGTGGGGCGGCCGGGCGGCACCGGCGCGCGGAGCGGCGCGTGGGAGGACGGCGGCCCGTCATTACCGGTCAGGCGTGACCCGGCCCGGTGGGGAGGCGCGCCGTGACGGGGCGCGCCCAAACACACCGAGCACGGCAGCCGGGGCCGGGGGACGCCGCTACCCGCGGCAGGGTCACACGACGACATGAGGTGAACCGGGCGACTTCCAGATACACTTCGTGATCAATGAGTGGATACCCTGCACTTTAACTGGGGGTGTGGCCGCTGAGAAGTCTGAGCAGCTACCAGCGCCATCACGCATCGGCGAACAATCGGGAGGAAGTTTCGGTAGCCGGGGGTCCGTGTCCGGGAGCTGCACGAGGGACATCACGGACTGGTCGACCGAGCGGCTCGAATCCCCTCCCCCCCCCCCCCCCCCCCCCCCCCAGCGTCCTTGGACGATGACAGGCGCGAACGAATCAGTGCGCACAACGGTGCACGTTATCGGAACACCTGACCCTGGTGCCGCCGAGCAGGTCCGCTGTCCGTTCCGCGGCATCAACTTGGGCCATACCATATGCCGTACATGTGATAAATAAGTACAGCAGACATGTGCTACGTGAGCGCCCCGTGTCAGCCCTGTGCTGACAGCTGGGGGTTTGACAACCCTGCGCCGTGTCGCAGTCCGAATTATAACCGACATCAACTCGCTGCCAGCACTCATGCAAAATGGACTCGCCCAAATTATAGCCGACACCAACTCGCTGCCAGCACTCATGTGAAATGGACTCGCCCAGTCCTGCACTGCTGCAATCACATTTACATGCTCGCCGCGCGTAAGCGACACTTCTGCGCCATTACCCGGGACATCGCCGTGAGTCATACGCCAGGCGTCATACACCCCAGTCAGTCAGCGGGAGTCACCGGAGCCGGGCGCACGTCCGCACGTTCACCCAGCACGCCACGGGACCGCCCACGAGCACGCCACGGTGCGGCGGCGCGCGCTCAGCGGACGTTCCGCAGACGACGCAGAAGGCTCACTGCGAGGTCTGGCTGCCGCGTGCCGGCGGCAGGACACTAGACAGCGGCCCGGGGCCGGGGCCGGTGCCGGGGCACGAGCCGAGCGGGCAGCGTCACGGAAATGGGGGAGGCAGTGTCACGGACCGGGGGCAGCACTGCCGTTCAGCGAGGCGTCAGGGTCACGGACAGGGGAGGTGACGTCACGGACCGGAGGAGGCAGCGTCACAGACCGGAGGGAGGCAGCGTCAAGGACCGGGGGGAGGTAGCGTCATAGACTGGAGGAAGGCAGCGTCACGGAGCGGGGGGGGGGAGGGGGGGGGAGGGCGGCAGTGCCGCTCAGTGCAGCGTCAGCACAGGTCGGCCGATTCCCCAAACCCAGAGTACCGAGCAGGGGCTGGCGGCGGCCGCGGTCCAGGCCGCCGGTCAGATTCGACTGCCCGTCGTCCAGCTCAGCCAAGGCCATCACGCTGGCGCCGCGGCCCGCGGACTCGCACCACGACAGCAGACGGACCCGACGGACACCAGCCGCCACCCAACGGTCATCACGCTAATCCGATGGCGAGCAGGCCCGCCCGCTGGCGCCCGACTCTGGTGACAGGCGCCGTGCTCGGCCCGCGACGCCGCGTCCGTCGGACGACACTGACGAACGGCCGGCCCGGCAGTCGCCGTGCCTCGTCCGCCGCGGGTGCGGTCGCGCTGCGTGCCAGCAAGCCCGGCCGCCGGCTCGCGCGTCGCCTGTCCGAGCGCACGCGCCCATCGCAAGGGCCGCCGCGTAATGGATACGCTTTTAGCATAATACAGCGCGCCGAGCGCCAGCCTCGCCGCCGCCGCTGCGCGTGAGGAAGTAATTAGCTTTGCGGGCGATGAGCCCGGCGCGATGAACGGCGCGTGGACGCTCGATTTTGAACTCCCCACACGAACATCCACGTGCGGAGAGCCACGCCGTCCTGACATCTCACGGCCTTTCAGCCCTCACGACCGCTCTCCGCTGCCGCTCCTGTGTCGGCGTGCTGGCGAGCGGGTGCCACGTGCCACGAGCCGAGTCGGTGCCACGTCTCCAGCTTGGCGGGCGGGACGGGCCGACGCCGGCGGCGCGGCCCTGACCGGGCGGCGCCGCCGCGGCCGGCCACAGCTGCGAATCACTGTCCCGGGTCCGGCCGGGCGGCGGCGCCGATCGGCCGGACATCGATTCGGAGCCGGCGACACGGCCGGAACGTACTTCGCAAGCGACGCCCTGCCCAGCCGAGCGGCACGGCCGGCCGCCGCCCGTGCCGCCGCCGGCGGCGGCGGCGGCACGACAAACGCCCCGGGCTGCTCTGCGACCGCCGCCGACACGGCCGCCGCGCAGTGTTTGTACGCGCGCTGGCCGCTGCGGACGTGGCGCCGGTTGTGGCGAGGCAGCGGCGATGTCGGCAGGCGACCAATGCGGCGCGCTCGTCTCTCAACGGCGGCAAGCGTCCTGTGTAATTACACAGCGCTCCCGTGCCCGCTCATTAAATCACGAGCGCGGCAATTGCGCGACGCTAGGTCCGCAATTTCTGCAATGCGACCGGGCAGGACCGCGCATGACGAGGCAGGGAGAGGGGGGGGGGGGCCGTATGTGCGCAGGTACCCCACACCCGGGCCGGTCCAGCCAGTTGAAGGTCGAAGAGAGCCGGCTGGCATGCCGGGGCCGTGTCCTGGCTGCGGGGTTGACGGGCCAGCCGGCTCCAGCGCGCGCCCGACACGAGAGGTGGCGTGCATCGTAGCCGGCGTCGACCGCTTCGACCTGTTGCCGCGGACGTGACAACGGCCGGGCGCCGACGCGGCCGAGCGCCGCCGCGCCGCCACGCAGTCACGACGACGCCCCCGTCACGCGCACGCCGTCGGCGGCTGGCCGCGCCGGCGATCGTGTTGGGCGCGCACGACCAGCGGCCGTCCGACCCCGTGCGCCTGGCGGCGGACACAGCAGCACGCCATCGCCCCCTCCTTGGGACACGCCCAGCGCGCGGCCAGGGCCACCAGCCCGGCAGGGGAGCGTCACGACAGACGCGTGTCAGCAGAGCGAGCGTCACGCCGTCAGCCGCAGTTTCGACAGTCGCACGGGCGCCGCCGGCGGAGCGACATCCGCACCCGTAAAATGCGCACCTCAGCCGGGGCGGCGGCGGTGTGACACCGCCCCAGCGCTGACCGGGCTCACCGCCGGCCGCGTACGCGCCAGGCGAGCCGCTGGCTCACTCTTGAGTGACGACGCCACGGTCGCAGCATTCCCGCAACGACCCACAATCATTCGCAGACTTCCCGAACAGGTACCGCGCAAAAGACACATTCCCACCTGCCCTTCACTCGGCATTTGTAAACAAAGAGCGTGGCGCAGCGCTGTCTGCTGCGGCCGGCGCGGGGTGGCGCTAGCAGCGGCCGGCGACTGGCTGCGTCGCGCCACGCCGGCTCTGCCGGACCGCGCGGCTTCGGTCGCGGCCAGCCGTCCGGCACGGCCCGGCCGACTTCCCGCTGCGTAACTGGGGCACCGAGCAGTGAGTAACGACCTTCACGTCCAGTGAGCAGGCACTCCGGCGACCAACACGCGCTCGCCAGCCGTGAAATCGCCCACAACGGACGGCACGCTCGGCCCGGGCCGCCGCCGCCGTGCCCAGCACGCGCCGGAGCCACGCCCAGCCGTGCTCGGGCGGTGACGGCGCGGCTGAAGTGAGGACGGCTGGCGGATGAGGACGTGCCGTGAGCTCCGTGGGCGGCGGAGTGTCGAAGTGGCGATGGTCGGCCCTGACTGGGCGTGCTCGAGCCGGGGTGGCTGTGGCAGTCGCGGGCCCGTTTGGCCTGAGGATGGAGCGGCGCGATTGGTACGATTTGCACAGCCGCGACAGAAGCGGAGGCGGCGGCTGAGTTGTACCTGCGCTGGGTCTCTGCTGACTCCCCGACAACGGCGAGTCGTCACACATTCACTTCCTGAGCAGAGGCCGACGCTAGGCGGCAGGTCGCCTTGGTGTACCCTAATGGTGCCCACTGGCCGCTGACTACCCAAGAGATGATCGAAGTGGTCCCATGTCGGCTGTAATTCATTGATTAAGTGTTGCGTAGCGTGCGCCACAGAGGGGATGTTGAAGTTCCCGGAACTCCACGCGAATTCGGGCCGAATTCCTGCCTAATCACCGAGTATATATCATAGCCATGTTTGACCAGAGGGCGGGGACACGGCTCCTATAAATCCATTGGTACCACACCTGGCGCTAGGCCCATATTCAGAGTCGCCGCCCGAACGGAATACTGACATTACAGCTCCCCGCGCTGCTCTGGAAGCACGGAGGACGGAAGCCCACATGCCGTCAATGCCGCCTCCACAGAGGAGGGAAACTCACGTGACGCCAATGTCACCTAAACGGTGGAGCGAGGCTCGCATGCCGCCAATGTCACCTACACGGAGGAGTGAAGCCCACATGCCGCCAATGTCACCTACGCGGAG